AAACAAATGAATTATTGATATGAATTATCGAAGTTTTACTAGTAATATTTACTTTTTGGTATTTATATTTGACAACTTATTATTTATATGTTATCAAATTAGATTACGTTAATTTGTAAAAGTTAAGATTGAATTTGGTATTTATATCTACTTTTTGTTATTAATATTAGTATCTATTTTCAAGTGTATTTATGTAATATAATTCTAAATGTTAAAAAATTTAATTATAGTATGGAACCGAATCGAACCCGAACGGTTCCAAAATTAAATTTGAAACCGACGGTTCCATTTTCTAAATACCCGAAAATTTCTAGAATCGAACAAAATCGAATCGAACCGAACCGAACCGACATGCGCCCACCCCTATTGGAGAGAATATATGCACGAGGCTATTAAGTAAATATTGATTGCAGACCTTAAAAAGCTACGACTCCTTGTTGTGGTTAAGACATAAAAGTCATGATAGAGAATAACTCTTTTTGTGGTGAGATGTTGGATACCTACGAGGTAGCCCCGAGGATGGCATGCGACAAAAGGTGAGGCTGGGTCCTCGACCCCGAGGAAAAGGCCTCCCACCTCGAGATTCAAGATGCACCCTTGTGTAATTTGAATAGAGATCGAGGATCCAAACCTCAGGTCGGGCCAAAGAGTTTACAGTATCATCAGTTGGAATATTATCCTTTATTTGATTGTCTCAAGTACAATCAAGTTTTGTTATTGTATTTCTTTAAATATTTCACAATCGAGATTAATTTTAATAATAATAAAATAATATTTTTTTTCATATATATGTCCATACTTGAGAATGAGGCGTTAAAGTAAAAGTCGAATGGCACAAATTATTAGATGTCAAATTTTAGTCGTTGTGTGATGTTGATATTTTGAGAAGTGATTTTATAAAAAGTAAGGGGATGTTCTCTTTGTATTTGAGTTTTTAGTGTTCATTTTGAGATTATTGAAAATATTTTCTTTTTGACATTTTGAAAAATTGTTTTGAAAACATTCAAAACGTGTTTTGAAAATTTTGACTTAATTTAACTGAAAACACCCAAAACGACAAATTTGTCGTTTTGAGTTTTCTTTGTAATGGTTTTCAAAAATGGGAAAGAGAACGTGTTTTCACTATTTTGAAAAATCGAAAATAGAAAACGGTTTGAAAATGGTAAAGAGAACATACCCTAAATTTTTTGAAGAATTAGTGATTAAATGTAAAAATAAAAAATTATGGTCTATGTAAACAATGGCTCAGTGCTTTTTGGGTCAATTATCTAATGTTTCTACCAAATCTCACATAGTCAATTGGCTAAAGGGAAAAATACATAACTAAGAGGTTTAGTTTTATCAATTTCAAATTTAAGAATTTAAGTTTAAAATTTCAAATTTCAGATATTTTTAAATTAATTAATTAAACGTATATTTTATTAATTAAATATATTAAGGTCACAGTTCCATATAATATGGTCACATATTATTAATTTGTCACAAATCACAAATTTTACATGTCACAATTTATTTTACAGTCACGATTCAAAAATTTTATAGATCACAATTTGTTCATCAATCACAAATAAAAAATTGAAACGTCACAAATTATTTTACGATTACAATTCAAAAATTTTATATGTCACAATTTGTTCATCGGTCACAATTCATAAATTTTATAGATCTCATTATTTTACGGTCACAATTCAGAAATTTTATAGGTCACATTATTTTACGATCATAATTCAAAAATTTTATAAGTCACAATTTGTTTATCGATCACAAATAAATTTTTTTTACGTCACACTTTGTTCATCGCTCACAAATCTATCAAATTAATAATCACAAATTATTTATTGGTCACAAATCACAAATTTTATAAGTCACAACTTATTTTATTGTCACAATTTATCAAATTATTGATCACAAATTAATAAATTTTTAAGTCACACTGTATGTATTGGTCACAATTTATCTGTTTCGTTGATCACATTGTTTATTGGTCACACATCAACCAATTTATTGATCGCAATCAACCAAATCATTTGTGACTACCACCAACTCTTGTTAACACCACTACATCATTGCAAATCAAAAATGTATATGTCATAATTCATTTATCGGTTACAAACCACAAATTTTATAGGTCACAAACAACAAATTTATAGGTCACAATCATAAATTGTCAAATTAATTGATCACAATTTACCAAATTCTAAGTCACAATGACAAATTTGGTCATAATTACACATTCTTCTAAGTCACATATTATTTAATAGTCACAAATTAATAATTTATTGGTCACAATATCCAAAACTTTTGGTCACAAAAACTAGGAAAATGCTAAGTGTACATAATAAGTGTACACAATCTTTGACACAATGTGATGTGGCAACAATCCTGTGGTTGATGTGAAAGTGTCAGATTTGAATTAAAGGTTTTGATCAATGCCACTTGTAATTGTGTAGACGATTATGTAAACTATTATGTACATGTAGCATTACTCCAAAAACTATTCCCATCCCCTGCCACCATGGCCATGGCCATGACCATTGCCTCCGAAACCACCACAACCACCTCGCCACATCATCGAGCCCTTCAAAATAACCACACCACTTCCACAACAATCTACCGCACCCACAGACACCACCATCGCCACATCTACATACATCGCCACTGCACCAACAATAACAAATAAAAATCATCCTAAAATACCAAATATGTCGACTAAGTAAGGAGGAAGAAGAAACCACCCCTAAAACCACAACTAGCGTCGTTGCAGCGACGATCTCAACACAACCACTATTCTGCAGACAAGCATAATCACAACTAGCGTCGTTGCAGCGACGATCTCAACACAACCACTATTCTGCAGACAAGCATAATCGGTAGATTTTTTGGCGTCACTGCAACTCTGATTCCCAATGGCCCAATAGATCACTATTGGAACATTTTCAATTGTTCTATTCCGAAAACTTTCATCAGAAAAATCAGACTTATGAAATTTAAATACATCCTGATCTCCAAGAAAACCGTAACCACAGGGATTAAATGACGAGATATTCGTACGATTATAAAACGATCCAAGTGAATTACAAATAAACTGTAGGCCTTTCGGTGTAGAATTTTGGCAACAACCAATTCCTGTACAAAGTCCATCAATGAGAAGTTCCCTTCCAGAACAAAAAGGACAGGAAGCCGCTTCTGAAACTTCGGCCACTTGTTCCCCTGAACACCGATGGGTCATCGCAGCCGACCACTGTGAATTGATGCGTATGGAATAGCGGATGCTTATGTTACCAGTTTCTGTATAGCAGTGGATCTGGTGGTTGTGTGAGAGAGAGAGAGAGAGGCAGGAGGGATACAGATTTAGGGTTTGGTGGGAGTTGGAATGGTTTTATCTGTTTTATTTTTATATTTTTAAAAATTAAAATTTTTAATTTTTAATTATGATCTGATTTTTGAAATAAAAACTTGTTAATCTAAATTTTGAAATTGAAAGTTTAAAATTCTGGTGAGGTGTAATTTCCACTTGGCTAAAAGCCTACTGGACTGGATTTGATTGCTACCAGAACTGTACACAAATGGGCCAACCCGTAATGGACAATAAGCCTACATGAAACATCATTACCAGCTGACAATTTTAACGGTTGTATTACATGAATATCACAACTTATAGATTTGTTTACTAATAACTAATGTGAGAAATTTTCCTTAAGTCAAAATCTCACCGACAAATTAAAATAAAAAAATATTCCTCAACTTTCTTTTTGCATTAACCCATATTACATAAGCAAAATAATTTAAGTAGTAAAGAAATTTTGACAGTCTTAATTTAACTTATTGCCATCTAATCAATTTGTAAAAGAATCTGTCAATAATAATGTACAGCAAGCATGTTCTCGATTTTAAAACCTCTAGACTGCCCTCCACATGACACAATATTTGCATATTTATCTTCAAAATTAAAGAAACATATATTTACACATTCATGTATAGATTTCTACATATAGAAAGCAAGGTTCTAAAATGTGTTTCGATCAATCATCAAACATATTCGTAATTATGCGGTTTCCAATTTTTAATATTATTTTAAATATTCTAAACTAATAAATCAATAAAATAATTTTATACGTATTCTTCAAATTAATTTTTTTTATAAAAAATATATTATTAGAAATTATAAATACTAAAATTACTTGAATTTTGTACATATTTTTCAAATTAAAAAAAAAAAACATATAATACAAAATCATAAATATTACAATTACTTGATAATCAATTTCTACAATTAGATTAGACACGAACATTGAATTAAAAAACTCTAAATCTTTTCTAACTCTTTATCGGATTCCAATTCAATCTTCTCTTCTTCATTGAATTTATCTTTCGTGTCATCTGATGCAAAATTATCTTTATCGTGCTCTCTTATTTCAATTCGAAAATTTCTATTAACTCTTGTATATAGTAAGATATCATTTTCAATCTCCTCATCATCAACACAATCATCAAGTATTTAAAATTGTATATTATTAACATCAATTGTTAGTAAAACTAGAGGAAGACTGGAGAAAACAGAAGACTCGAGCTCGATGTAGATAATTTGTTATTCTACGAAAAATTTATTTTTTTTTTATTTTTCTAAACGTTAAAAATCATACTGATTGCTGTATATAATTCACGGATTTAGATGATTTGAGCTAATTTGATGTTTGTTGAGCTCAATTTACATTTTTTAAGTTATAAAATTGGGATGAACTTTGTTAGGATAATTTTTAACACAAAAGCATACACAAGTTGGTGTTCAAACATATATATACAATCATGAAATGGGTTGACCACATTATCACGTGCATATGTATGGTGTTATGAATTTCGGATCACAAGATAATGAAGACAATGAAATAAAGATGAATAGAACAAGATCACAAGAAGTTAGAGGAGAAGAATCCACTATAAAATCAATAACTTTGTGTTTACAATATCAAGATTTCAATAATCAATTGAAATCTAGGCTCTCAAGAATGTTTTCTCTCAATTCTCTTGATGTTAGAATTTTTTATAATACTACAAGCTGTGACCTATATTTAGGAAAACTCTAGGAACAAGTTGTAGTAGAAAAGAAGTCCAAAAACGCGTCAAAGAGATGAAACGGGCTTGGGCAGAAAAAGACAGTCGCTCGAGCGACAGGCGAGCGACGAAGTCTCGGGTGTTTTCCACCAACTTCGCTTGAGCATCTAGCTAGCACCAGGCTAGCAAAAATGTGACAATTTTTTCCTCCGGTCCATAATTTTGATCTCTTCAAAACCATCTTCAAATTCACTCCAATTTAGACTCCAATACCCACTAGAATTTAGGTCAAACAACAACAAATCTCCACCTTGAACCAAATTCCAACACAAGGAATTTCAAGTCACAACTCAATCAATAAACACCACTCATCCTCCAAAAAAGCCACCAATGGACTAAATCAATGATAAACACCCACTAAGTTCACAGAATGTTCAAATTTAGAAATAGAAAGTGTTTTGTCATTATATCAACAAGATTATCACTGGTATCAACCTTACTCACTACAATATTAACACGAGCAATCACATCACGCACAAAATGGTACCTCCCATCAATGTGATTAGTC